TTCTCTCCTTGATGGCCTCGAGGGGTTCCCAAGAAGAGTCAGTCTCTGAAGAACGAGCGGCCATGGCGACGGCGCGAGACAGGCCTCTCTGGACTCTTGATGCGGAGCTGCTTAAGTTCAGAGGCCAGGGTCTCGACAGGGTTCGTGAGTGGTGTTGGGGAAGCCGAGGCCATGTTGTAATCTCGCGGATAAAGGCCGGCGACTTAAACGACCAGGGGTAGATGATCTTGCGTGGAAAAGGGAAATGGATTTGAATGACTTTGATTGAAAGGGACTAGAGCTAGGGGTATTCTGCAAGCTGATGGCCTCTGGTAAAGTGTCGTACGCAATAATGGGGCGCTGCCAATGGTGGTGATGGCAGGACGAGCGAGATACTGTACACCGGGAGGACGAAAGGCGATTGAGGGGCTCTGACCATCACTTCTTTTGTCTCATGCCTGCCTGTTGGTGCATCCGCCTGTTATTTCCTGCTTCGCCGGGTTCAGCGAGGACGCGGGTGGGTGCATCCCATCAAAATGGTCAAGCGTCTGCCAACCTGTGGTGGTTGGGAGGAGTTGTAGCAAGTCGCCTTTCCCAGATGGAGGGGAAGACGCGACCCGCGTCGCGAGCCGGACTGCTGATAGGCTGCTCGTCTGGAGAAGCCAAGGGCGAAGAAGCGGCAATGCATAAGTCGGACATCGATCCAGACCGCCGCCTGGCGACTTCGGACGGGTGTAAAGAAAGCTCGGAGCTCATGCGAAGATTATTTCGTCAAGTTGCAAAGAGTCGTGCCTTTTCGACTGGTAAGCATCTCACCGTTGAGGCAAGACGTTGAGCCGAACCACTGGGACCCAGCCAGTACGGCGCAGGGACCCAAATACCTTGGTAATGCGGTGTGTATGTTCGTGGTAGTCGTGCGTTCAAGGGGACGTTCCTGCGGCTTGATCCTGCTCTGCTTGTTCGGCCTGTGCCTGCAGTGAGGGAGCGTGTTCTGTTGGAATACGGACCAAGGTCTGCGGCAGAGAAGGTGCCGACTCGCTTGTGTCGTCGGTCGCATCGTCCTTTGGCATCGGGATTTTGGCTAGACGTCTAGTTAGCGTTTGCTTCGCACCAGCCTCCGCAGAGACAAGCGGTGACATACTGGAGGCCATGTTAATGGCACGGAGAACGTTATGCCAGTTGCCAATGACAGTCGCGATGGCTTCTGTCCCATCTGACAGCGTCGAAAGCTGCTGCTCCAAAGCCTCCATCTGGGATGCAACAGCTGCACTCAGGTCGCGCAGCTGCTTGAGATTGTCCAGTTCTGCCTTCTTCTCTTCGATGCGTGCGACGAGGGCAGGTGAGGGGCCGCCCATCGAGGAAGATCCATCGCGAACGCCTGCGCCGGGCCCTGTCAGCCGGGTTGACAGCGACCTGGTATGATACGACATGGTGGATATTGGGACGAGCTTGGGAGGTTCCGGTTTACATGTCGTGGTGTGTGGCTGCTCATAGGCATTCGAGTCTTGGGTTGTGACACTTGATGTGGACGACAAATACAGCCTAATGACAATGGTGGGGTGGTGAAGCAGTACTGACAGAGGCTTCAGAGCCCTGTGCTGTCGAGTCTTGCTGTCGCGCTGTGCAGTGACAAGAGTGACTTGAGTGAGTGGGGTGAGTGCCAGGCTGGCAAGGTGGGGTCGCTATTGATTGACAGCGGGGCAGACCTGCAGACCTGCAGCCCCAGCAACCCAGTGCACCCTGGCCCTCCACGACGCTAGGCCGCATGTGGACGACAGTAAATAAATGACATGGGGGACGCTGAGATTTGGTCCCCATTCCACACCAGCATCCTCACCACACCGCTTCTCCCCCCAGCCTCCTGCAAGATTTCAACACCTCACGACCCTGAACAAACTCGTCTGGCAACTTGCTGTCTCTTCGTCTCGCGTCCGAGTCTACGCGGCTCCCGTTGCTTCAGAACACACCCGCAACACCATGCAAAATGGCGCGACTCAATGAACCCCCAGTGTCTACCGACAATCTTGATATCAGTATGTCGTGTCCCAGTCTGCATTCGTTTGTTTGTGCCTTTCCTCTTGCTGACTCGAGCTGCGACGCAGTTCGAAGAAAACTTCTCCGCCAGAACAGAGACCTTGCGAGGGCCAATTCCACCCATCTACTTCGCATCCGAACGCTCGAGGCACAGAATGCCCAGCTCATGTCCGACAAGCTTACCCTCGAGGGTCGCATTATTGCTCTGGAACAACAGCCCGAACCAGACAGCGAAGCCCACAGGATAGCTGATCATGCGATCGACATGCGCACTCAGCTGGAAGCTCGCCTACTCCAGTGCGTCGAGATGCTTGGGGAGCTGGGGACCGCACCGCCCAGGAAGCGACACGCAAACGCCAGACAACGCAGAGAGTCGACAGCAGCTCGCATCTCTCTCAACCGACGTAGCCCTGCAGCCCGTCGTATTCGCCCATTTGAGACCCAGGAAGAAGCCGAAGCCCGTGCCAAGGCTGAGGGCAGGTTGACCCCGATTGCTGAGAAGAGAGACTGGACCTCCCGTCGCACCATGGAGTACGTCTTTCACGGAGACCCATTCGTCTTGCTGCGCTAACCCGAGAACAGCCAGAGCGAGATCATGGCTTTGTGCAGTGCTGCCGATACCACAGACTCTCCGGAATTGGGCCCCCCTCCCATGTCGCGATTTGTTGATATCGACACCGACCCCGTCAAGACATCACCCAGCAGAGCTCAACCTACGAACAAACAACTGAGCGTCGACGTCAAATTTGAGGCGCCAGCTTCACCGATTTCGCCTGCGCCGACTAAAATGACCACGCCTGTCAAATCTGAAGCGGCCACGAAAGAACCAGACGATGCTAGTCAGGTCGAAACGGACATTTCCAGTCCCACACCCGTCAAGAAGCAGAATGCACCGGAAGTTGCGAAAACAAGCTCCAAGCGGAAGTTTGGATCGAATGACGTGCTGAACACGACAGCCTCTTCCGCCGCCGTGTCCACAGCGCCAAGGCCTCGTAGTACCATCCGCACCGAAGGAAAGAACACCAAGACATTGAAGGAGCTGGCGAGCATTCGACGCGAAGCGAAAGATAGCTTGACCGCTCCCATCACAACTGCTCGAAAGCCTCTATCGAATAAGAGCACCAATGAGGACATCATGTCACCCAAAAAGTCTTCAAAGCCCGCTTCGAAAGATGACCTCACAAAACCAGACAGGGGTCTAGACGGGGTTCGCAAGGGAAAGGCAAAGCCCAAAGCCAAAGACTCGGAGACGCCTGGCATCGTCGTCCCACTGGCACCGCTGGTGCCATCAAAGCCGACTGTCAACGTCATGCCAACTACCAAGTCCGCCATGATCGAACCTGCTCTCATGTCGCCGAGGTCGCCTGAGCCCACACCACCCATTTCGATGGCTCGCGACACCCCACCACCAGCGGATATCTCATCCAAGGGTGAGACGGCACGACCAGGCAGACGCGCAAGAGCGGCTGTTAGCTACGCCGAACCTAACCTCCGAGACAAGATGCGGCGGCCGACCAAGGAACTTTGTGACGCTATCACTGGCGAAGGTCGTGCACGGTCCCGAATGTCAACCTCCAGAGCCGATGAGCCAGCTTCGGCGGACCAGGCCATTGTGAAGCGGGAGCCAGTGTCCGACGAGTCATGGAAGCATTTGGCAGCTGCCATTCCCACCACGTCCGAGGCCTTGGAGAAACCCGGCGCAGCAAGCCCTTTGGCCAAGAAGGCTCCCGTGGCAGCTGACATTGCCACGCGCAGCAGTGAGGGTGCCGAAACACCGAAGAAGCAGGTTTCCAAGAAGGAGGTCGAGTCCAGATCCAACAAGAATAGTCCGTTGGCTTCACCCACGACCGACTCGTCAGTTGATCCTTATGAGTTCACTACGTCCACGCCAAGCGGTGAGGTGAACACTGCGCAAGACGACTCGGACAAGCCCGGAACCAGACGGCTGTCCAGATCTAACAGGCGACTCTCATCAGTTGTGCGGGAAGACTTTGCATACGAGCCAACTGAGACGGTCTTGAAGGACAAGACAAATACGGCAACAAGAAAGAGAGCCTCGATGGCTCATGCCCGACCGGAGATGAACAAGATGAGCGATGACAGCCCTGACACATCAGGTAGCGCCGACTCGCAAGACGCACCGTCTCGGGCGTCGATGAGGAGGAGAAGCATGATGTTATGATTTGTTTGCGTGACGTCCACGCCTAATGACACATCCTAAGGAGCAATTGGTTTTTTTGAGTGTTGGCGTCAGCTACATGGCGGCCTTGGCTTCATGTTTGTTCATTTGTGTTTTGGACACCAGGACGTTGAGGTGTTCACTTGTTTAGGATACCACAGGTCTGCGCCTTCCGAGCCGCGCAGGTAGCTTTTTTTGGTCTTTTTTTTATTCTTTCTTTCCTTGTGACCGTACGGAGTTTTGGTCGTTGGTCGATCCCGGAAAACAGGGGGTGATGATACCAGGAGTCTTGACGAACACTCTCAGCTTGTAATTCTTTAGACTTGTTGTTGTTCAAAACGCTTCATCGCAACGAAGTCACATAACTGTCCGGGCTAATAAGCCTGACTGACCCTGGGCCGAAGTGACTTCCTTCCACACCCTACCGCTGCATGCTACCGCCGTCATGACGCCTTATCATGAGCCACCTGTTGGCTCGACCGGCTTCGTGTAGGTGACCTTCTCCACGGCAACGCTCTCATTGCCGTTGTCGTCTTTTCGCAGTTGGTAGACGTACAGGGTAAGCGAGATTCCTTGCACCTGTGGCATGTCAGCTATGTCTAGTTCCTCGCGTTGCTTCTTCAGCAAAGGGAGGGGGGAGAGAGATGGACGGCGCACGTACATCCATGAGGCAGAAGCTGGGCACGGGTTCCTCGCCCTCCTTTCCCCAGCCCGTGGCGAACGCGCCGGTGGCGCTGCCGGGGTTGACGAAGAACTTGTCCATGTACTCAAAGGCGTCGAAGCGGTGGGTGCCGCCCCAGCAGAGGACGTCGACATCGAGCTTGTTGGCCTCGGCGAGGAGCAGGTCGGGCTCGGACGAGACGAGGGTGAAGCCCTCGAGGAAGCCGATGCGCAGGGAGCCGTGGGTGACGACCTGGGTCAGGGGCAGGCCGGCGGCCTCGACGTCGGTGCGGCCTTTTACGATCTTGAGGTCTGGCGCGATGCTGCGGAGGTACTCGTAGGTGTGGCGGTCTGTGAGGTTGCCGAGACAGAGGGTCTGGCCGATCTTGCCGGGGGCGAGGAGCTTCTTGAACTGCACGAGGGGAGCAGGCGGCTCACGGGTCAGTCTGCTGCGGGATTGGAAAGGGGGGGGGGGGGGAGTTCGGTGCCAACGGACCTTGGCGGGAATATCGAGGGCTCGATCTGGGATGTGAAGATCACCAATGACTAGTATTAGGAAGGCCATGATGTCGGCTGTATAAATGGGGATGCGCGCTCCGTCCGTTGGTGGTAGGATGGGAGGTTGTTGAGGTCGTCGAATAGGCTACAGGCGCAAGCAGGCAGCCAGCTACTTCGGAAGGTGGAGCAGCTCCGGCGGGCAGCTCAACGGCAGCTCGGCTTGTATGGGTGCTCCCGAAATCTGTACCGCACAATTGAAGTATCGCGATTCGGCCAACTAGAATGGAGAGCAAAGATTGTTCGCTGGGAATGGCGCCAGTTGTGGAAAGCAGCAGGCCTGTGGTTGCGGTGACGATGCGCCTGCAATGCAAGCTCCCGCTCTCTGGAAGTGGGGGGCTGGGACAATCAGCATCAGCCACGGTTGTGATATGGATATGTGGCTGGTGCGACATGCATCATCGTCTTCAGAGCTCCAACAGCGGCCAGGCCAGAGCTTCGTCCAGCGTTCCCAGTGCTTTCGAGTCGGACCCCGCCGGGTCCCAGCTCCCAGCTCCCAGCTCCGTAAGCGGCGATTTTCTCCCGACTGACTCGGCTCTAATGCCGAGATTCCCCCAGCTCTCGTGGGAAGTGATTTCGTGGCCTTTTTCACATGAGCAATCGACAATCGAGGTTCCAGTCATCGAAGGCCAAAGTCAATCTCGTCTCACGCACTGACTGGCGGTACTGACTAGCTGGTACCGAA